GGGCATTTTTGTCCTTTAAAGGAAAATGAATTTTAAAATTCATTTTCTTTGGTAAAGTATTAAAGGGGAAAGGGGGGAAACTAGGTTATTAAAAGCTATCTATCTTTTCTTCTTTCCCGTGGAAAAAGCTCTCCCCCATAGCAAAGGTAAGGTTTTATTTGTATAGTTTCTTGTTTCATTTTTGGTTGGTTTTTGAAACATTGAGTAGGATAGAAGCTTAAAGAAGGATTATATAGGATCAAAACTAAGAGATGAATGAGATATTGGAGATTTAAGGAAATGAGTTTTGAAATGATATGTTAAGATATGAGTGTTTATTGATGTGTACTAGTATATTTGACTTGTCAAAGTAGTAAATGAGAGATTAGAAGCATTGGATGGGTTTAAAAATAAGTTAGAAAAAGTGGTGTGATTTTTAGATTAAATGTTCTTGGGAGATTTGAGATGTTTTAAGAAATTAAATGAAGGAAAGTTAGTAGGGATAAGTAAAGAAGAGTTTAATAGTATTGTTGGGTGTAAATATAAGGAAATTTGACCAAATTTGGGTAATAATCGGGCTGAAAAATGGAAAATCTGGGTAAGGGTATTGGTACTGATAGAACAATACCGATACTGTAGGCTTAAAATCGGTAGAATCAGCTGAGTAGTATCGATATTGATGCAAGTAGTATCGATACCAAGAGGGGGTACTATTGATAACATAATATAGAAATTGTATCGGTACCGTAATAGAGTATTGGTACCATAGTATAGTAGTATCGATACCATGGTAAGGGTATCGATACTATTAAGCCAAAAATGTGAAAATAGGCTAAGATTGTTATAGAAAATATAATAATAGTATTTTTTAGTATTGTTTAAGTATAAATGTAAGTGAATATACTAATAATTGATATTGTACGTGTCTTTAATGGATGCTTGAGTAGATCGAAACCAAACTCCCGAGTCAAGCAAAACTAAAGGCAAAGGCAAGTAGCTGAGTAATCAGATTGGAGTATTGGGTATAATAGTGAGGCAAGCCAGTGAGTGCATATATTATATGTTATGATAGTCATAAATGTATGAATGTTTAATATATGTATGGTGATTACCATATGGCACTTTGTGAGCAAAAACTAAGAAATTCATAATGAGTTTATGAAAACTAAGAAATTCAAAATTAGTTTATGAATTTCCGTATTGATAGTGTGTGTGCAACCCACGTAAATGATAGGAATGGTTGGGAAATGAATGTATTGGCAATACAAGTGTGAACTATAGAGTATTTAAAGAATTTGAAAGAATTAATGGACATCAAAATGGTCATGATATACTTATGTTTAGAATTTTGCTTATGATTATTTAAGTCTCACTAAGAAATTGCTTAGCGTGTGTTATTTTCACGCGTCGGTTCTAATACAAGCAGAGTAAGGAGATCATCGGATATCAAAGCTAATGTCGCCTCGTCAGTAACAATATGACATTTATGTCAACTTTTGATGTATTTAGTTGTCATGTAATATATTTAATAAAAACGCTATGAAAACATTTGATTTACCATGATGTAAAATGATGAAATGTTTGAACATTACTTTTTGTTTATTTACTTAAGTTTAATGAATGTTTTATTTTAGTAAATTAAAATGTTTTATAAAAAGAAACAAAATTTTACGGATTTTCAAATGAGGAATTGTTTTAAAAGTGATGTGACATCTATATCTCGTGTACGAAAAGGTATACGTTAGATGGGTGTTACAATAGTTGTATGGTAAAAAATTATAATTTGCCCAAAAATTTACACGAATTTATTTTTTTGTTGTTGAAATAATTCATCCTCTAATTTTTAATGGTATACAAAATTTGGGCAAATGTCGCTCTCAAATAGACTTGTCCTTGCTTCTATCATTTACTCCAGTATTAAAGTAATTAACATTGTAGTATTAAAGCGTAAATTAAAAAAAATGTTCAATTATAAGTAATATTTTAAATAAGTCATTTAATTTTAAAATGTTAAAAACCAATACTCAATTTTAAAAAAGTCACAAACGAGTCATTCAGTTAATTGAAAAAAAATCTACCCTAAATTTTAAGCTTCTTGAATATCAAGGTCTCTATTTGACGATTCAAACGATGAACAGATAGTCATTAGTTAAAGGAAAATATATCTCGAGGCAAAGATCATTAGAGGATGGATGGTATAGATCAGGATTCAAGAACTTCGAAAGTGTTGGAGTGATTTCACGTCCTTTATGAAAAAACATTTGAGAATCTAATCCAAAGAACCAAATAAAAGTGATCAAAATGAATCTTATTATAAAGAAATTTGTGTTCATCAACCATCATTACAAATATTGATGTCGGTCGATGTGGTGGAATTGATAGTAATTTTTTTTTTTACTGATTTTTAGTATATGACATGATTGTTGTTATTAATTAATTGAATGTCATGATTGTAATTATATAAAATATAATTTTTTAGTGAACAAAATGCCCCTATCAAAAATCAAATTCACTTTTTAACTACCCAATTACATATTTTTACAATTTATTAATGAAATGACTTATTTTTAGTACCTTTTAAATTGGATGGTCACTCTTTATCTTAATCATAACTTTGCGTGAGATGGAAATGACATGTGCAACAGTTGTCCCATTTGAGCCTGAAAAGGTAACATAAAAATGGCAAGGAAATCACGACAATCAAACTGGGTCCTACGGAACCAATAATTTTGGCATGGTCGGTGCATGCCAGCTGCTCCTTCTGCCCAATGGAAGTTCTATGATGGTTTTAATATATTATTAAAAAAAATTGTTATCGATTTTATTTTTAAAATTAATAAAAAAATTATCAAAAATATTATTGAACGTTTTATTATATTTGATAATATATATGATAAAATATTATTTAAAATATTATTTTTTTATTGAATATATTATCAAATTCGATAAAACGATTAATAATAATAATTGATAAAAATAATAATGTTTTTAATAATTTTTTATCGATTTTATTAAAAAAATAATAATAAAAAAAATAATACATTTCCTTAATTATATATTAGGCTGTTGCGCCATTTTAATTTTATCCATCATTGATAGGGATGGCAGTGTTCACTTGTACAAATTCATTACGTTTTTTATTTTTATTTTTACATAACATTTGTCTGAATCATAATTTTAGTTCTAATTTTCTTTCAAGTGTTTTAGTTTTTATTTTATCAAAATAATTTATGTTTGTTGAAAATATTTAATTAATTAACGTGATAATTTTTTATGTATTTAATTATTTCCATATTATATGTTACTTTATTATTTTGGGTGATATATTTAATTATTTCCATATTATATGTTACTTTATTATTTTGGGTGATATATTATATATCACGTCATCCTATTAAGTGAATAATATATATTATTTAATAAAATATGAGTTATTTTGATAAAAAAAGTTTAAATATTAAAACTTAAAATGTTCTGAAAAAATAGGAATTATAATTATAATTTTAATAAACATTAAAAAGTTAATTTTAATATTATATATTTTGTTTTTCTCTTTCAAAGATTATAATTTTATAAGTTATAAAATAAACAAATAAGATATACAAACTTCAAACTCTATTCTAGATAAAATTTCAAAACATATATTAAGTTTTATTTAATATATAATATGATATAAAAAGTTCATTTTCATACAATATAATTGGAATCATCATTTGACTCAAATTTGATGGATTCTAATCTGATCTAATTTTATAGTTTCGATTTGATCATATTATATAAGTTTGTCAAATTGAGTTTTGATCTAAATCAGAATCAAGATAAAAAAATTTGATTCGATCTGATTGTAGATTATGTGATAATATTTCAGTATATATTTAGAAATAATTAAAATCATACCTCTTTTTATATTGTTTGTTTTCAAATATATTCTTATTTAAGTTGATAAAAGTGTGTGTATATATATATATATATATGGTATATATATATATACCATGTCAACCCCCATATTAAGTTGAGCTCCCTCAAAAATTATGTATAATAAATAATTGAATTTAATCGTCAATATATATATATATATATATATGACTTTAGAATTTAAACATTACTTAAATATTAATTAATAAAAAGTTAACATTGCTTTATTATTATTATTTAATTTCTAAATGAATGAATATTTATTCTTTATTATTTTTTATCTCAAAATATATTTTTATGTTTTTCTTTATTTGGTTGTACGTCTTCTTTTAGTTGTTAATCTTCTTTGAATTGAAGACTTCAATAAATTATCAAATATTTAACTTTTAATTTTATTTAGGTAATTTTATTTAAGTTAAAGGTAATTTTATTATATTTTTATTATATAACACCAGATAATATAACATATATACACACATATTATATCTACATTTATGTAGATGATAATATATATATTATGTTTGATATCATATTTTTTTTTAATTCTACGTAGGAGGGAGAAGAAAAATTTACTCCTAATAGATGTTAAACTCATGATATAAGAGAAGAAAAATGTTAACCAAGACTTTTAATCACATATTCTAGATATTATTTACAATTCAATATCACATACTATTTACTAATTAACACAAAAAAAATTAATAATAGAACCCAATAAATTATATGTCAAATAATAGAATGACAAGGGTATTTGTGGATAAAGCTCGTATACATAATTTTAGAACTTTGATCAGTTTCTAAACTAGCTAGCAACCACTCCTGTTCTAATAATCACCACCTATAACTTTTCCAAATAAAATATATATCTAAGCTATTTAAATATTTTAATTTTAAAGAATAATTATCCTAAAATAATGAAATATTTAAAGATTATTGTTTTATTTTTTAAAAATATTATATAAAAATGACCGTACTAATGAAGACAAAACGAAATAATTATTAGGTGCAACTATAGGGCAGAGAAAAGCTAGAACAAATTCACATTTTCAAGCCCTAGAACTGGTTTTCAATAATTTTAAAAAACATACAGTCCTCTCAAAGTACCATTTTCCAGGACATGCATGATGAGGATACGGAAAACGAAAAAGTAAAAAAGATCAACGGCCACAAATTAAACACAAAATACAAGCCAATAAAAACTCAACAAGTGGAGAAAATCCGTGGGACTTAAACATTCTAGGTTTAATAATCAGTGGTGGGGAGCTGTTCGTGTGTGTTGCTAATGAAGATGAACTCGTAGATGAGTCCAGCGAGTCCACCACCGATTAGGGGTCCAACCCAGTAGACCCAGTGGTTGCTCCAGGACCAGCTCACCAAGGCCGGTCCGAATGAAACCGCCGGATTCATTGAGGCTCCGTCGAAGGCTCCACCGGCCAAGATGTTGGCTGCGACGATCAGACCGATTGCTAATGGCGCGATTGTTCCCAAGCTTCCCCTTTTGGGATCAACGGCGGTGGCGTACACTGTGTACACTAATCCGAACGTCATCACGATCTCGAAAACTAAAGCATTGGACACTCCCACGCCCGAGGACAATGCGAAAGCTGGTACGCCCTGCAAATAACGGAATTAAGTATTAACGGATTTTGTAAGGAAGTAACTGATTTTCTAACGGAATTTTTGGAGAGTTACCAGGTCGCCGGTGGCGAACTTGAGTAAGAGGCAAGCGACGGTGGAGCCGAGGAGTTGGGCGATCCAGTAAAGGATGCCACGTAAGAGACTGATGTTTCCGCCGACGAAAGCTCCGAAAGTGACAGCGGGGTTGACGTGACCACCTGAGATGTTGGCTCCAACGGAGACGGCGACGAAAAGGGCGAAGCCGTGAGCTAAGGAGGCCGACACAAGACCAGCGGGGGTGGTTGCTCCGTTGTCGGTCAACTTGTTGAAGGCCATACCCGAGCCTGATCCCGCGAAAACGAAGATCAAGGTCGAGATGAACTCAGCCAAAGCTGCCTTAAGAGCGTCGGGGTGAGTCGCCTCTTCCGGCCGGCCAACGGCTATGTTTCTGATCGGCATGTTGATCTGAATATCTAAAATCTAGTTGCCGGAGCAGGAGAGTGGAAATCGGTATGTTTTTTTTTTGGTCTGGTGTGTCCACTCCCCTAACTCTTTAACTCTTACTTATATTTGAAATGTTTGGTTCACCGTGACAGGGATTAGCCCGATACCGGTTGAGTGATGTTGGGGAAGGATGTATTATTTTGGAAGGAGATTGGTCGACAGGCTGTGATATAATTATTTAATTTATTTTATGTAGTTTTTTGGGAACGGGTTGAACCGGGAAACCGGTCACCCCCATTACGACAGCGAAGCGGGGGCAGTGTCAGGTGGATGAACAATTGCCACGTGTTCATGTTGGATAAGATCCACGTAATGTGGGCGTTTAGCCGATTTTTTTTATTTCTTTTCTCGGATGACTCTCGAAAAATCGTATCATTTATAAAAATATTATTAATAAGTGAAAATAGGAGAAATCATAATCTTATCGGGTAGAATGCCGTGATGCAAAGGGATTTGGACACGTGTAATAAGGACTGATCGGACGGCTTGTGTAGCTAAAGATTGAAAATAGAAAGTAAATAAGGGGAAGAACGTGAACATGGAATGAAAATTTTGTTCACGTTTTCTAGCTTTGGATAGGAATCCTTATTGATGTTATGAACTAAGAAAAGGAGAAAAAGTGGAACAACTTCAATTATTAAAACTAAAATTATTTTTTTACCAACCCTACCATAAAAAAATTAAAATATTAGATTAAAATAATCATCGTATAATAAAATTTTATAATATTCAAATTTGAATTAACATAATAATTAATATCATTGCACCAATTAAAAAGATATGTTGTTTTAGTGTTACGATGCTTAATCATTTATTGATTAAACAAGGAGCTAAGAACAATATTTTATTCTATAAAATGCTACTTTGGTGAAATCATGGAAATAAGTGGTTGAAGTAAACAACTGGTTCCTCAAATAAGCCAACCCTGAACCGTTTATCGAATAAGACAGCTAACGCAGAGATTATTGTTTTATTTTCCCTTTAATTTATTTTATTCCATTGGTTTTGTATTTCATCACAGATCCGTGACAAGATTATAGAGCACAGTGAATAAATCCATGCAGAATATTAAAATATGGAAAAGGAGAAGGCAAAATTAGAAAATAAGGTAGGAGTAGCAAGTAGTGAGATCCTTACCATAAAGGGAAAACCTTGCCATATGCGTTAGTCGACATGATTAAATTAATACCTATTTTCGGTGCTTATTATGATGGAAGTTCAACTCGTGAGTCTTATACACCACCATTTCCTTTCCAACTCGTACTTTTGTCAGTAAATTTTAATTTTTATAATATTTTATGTAATCACGTGCCATGACTTTATATTATTATATTGCGGTACAAGCCTCTATTGCTACTTTCGGCCATGATGATTACCTGCCCTTTTGTTCTGTGCTTTTAAGTTTTTCAATCCTCATTCATTATTATTCTTTTATGGGTAAAATAGGCAGCTCCATTAGTTTTTTCCTTTAAAATAGAATCACCATCTTATAAATTTTTCATAATTAAAGAGTTTAATATAAGAATCTTATAATCAGCCAATTTGTTTCAACATTTTACCTAATTTTCTTTTCGAGAAAATGGATGTTGGATTTGGATCTAAATCTATTAAATAATATTTGTTTCTCATATTAATAAAGCACATAATTTTAGGAGATAAATTTGATCATATATAAAATAAGAAAAATGATAAAATTATCTCTTAAAAATGATTGATATATTTGACATATTTATTCTTATAGGGGTAAAAGAATGAGATATATAAAATTAAAAATACAATTATTATTATTTGTTGATTTTTTATAAAACATTTCGACGAAAATAATAATATTTTTTAAACTCTTCGAAGCACCAAAAAAATTATGAAAGAGGTCTAAATATATAACAAAGTAAATCTCATAGAACTTCAACGTTTTAAAGCTAATTTAGTATTTAATTCATTGATGTTCTCGGTGTGGTTAAAGGAGTGTTGTTTTCCCTTGAGATTATGAGTTCGAACATTTATGTCTGTAGGCGTCTCTTTATTATCAATGATTAAGAAATATTATGAACATATATTATCTTGTAAAAACTTCATACTATTGAAAAAACTAATTTAGTATTTAATTTTAAAAGTGTAATAAAAATAATATAATTTTTTTAAGATTTAAATATTTAATATTTTATTAAAATATATTTTTAAAAAGATAAATGAGTATTTTAAATATGGTATTAATTATTATAAGTTAAATAATATATATTTACATTATATTTAAATTTTTTAGTATTATAATATTTAAAATGTATTAACTTGAACAATGATAAAAAATATTTTTTATTAAAATAAATAAATTTATAATTCTTGAAACCTTACTATATTGATTCAACTCGAAAGAAAAACGTGATTTTAACTTTAAAATCAATACTGCTTGAACCCGAATCACGTAAAAGAACATGTCACCTTTTAACACTAGAACCACTCATCAGATTAAGCTCATAAATAATTTATTAAGGATATAATTATCTTTTAATAAAAAGTACAAATCTATAAATTATAAATAAACACATAAAGAATAGTAAACCAAAGATTACAACATTTTCTTAAATTATTAAGAACGTATTGTATATATTTTATTCATATAATTATTTAAATCCGAATCTTATTAAAGAATAACATTTCTTTTTATCATTGAAACTGTTCAATAACTTTTGATTAAATTAAATTAAAATAATAAATGAAGAATTGAAAAACAATGACAAATGTAAGATTTCTGTAAGACGAATATGTGTTCATTCAAAAATTTAAAATTTTTCATATTAATTATTTATTTTATTGATATATTTTATCTTAACATTTTATTTAAGTCTATTATATATATATATTCTTTTATTATTAGTATATATCTATTTTGAAAAATATTTTTAGATTATTGATATTAAAATAACCAAGACCGGATAAATACAAATAATTGAAAGAAACAAAGAACGGTGAAGGACGTGAGAGTGTTAGTGAGAGGTGGGGACAACCCGAAGCACAAGGGAAGATTAGGGCAAAACCGCCCCCTTTGACTCTACTAAGGCTGGCTCATGGCCTCCACCCACTTCCTTCCCATATCCTCGCTATCACATTTTCTTATATTTTTAATATGTTCTAATATAACGTGTTTAAATACTTATTGTTATAAAGATTTAGAGTATTTTAAATAGATATTATCTTATAATTATATTATTTAAAAATATATACTTCTAATCCTTATAAATATTAGTGGTAAAATAAAATGTTATTCTCTTTAAAAGATTTGAATTCGAATAATTATTTCTATAAGTATACACATTGTTAATAAATTAAAAATATCTAAATATATGATATTTTGTAATTATCTCGTACCATTAATTTTTTTATATATCTCATTTTATTGTTGATGAGTATTCAGTCAATTGATTTAATTCAGGTTGATATTTTTATGTCGTTTCTCTTTTAATTTTATTATATTTTTTATCATCGAAGAAGACATTAATCTTGATTAGTTATGCATCATTTTCTTTTCTTTTCTTTCTTTTATAGTTTGAGTTATATATATTTTATTTAATTGGTCTTTTCTTTTTTATATAAAAGTGGTGGATGATCCACTCCTGCAAAACGTTCTTTGTCTGCTCAGTTTAGCTTTTATATTTGTCTTCTCATGATTAGATTTGACGTTGTCTCTCTATATCTAGATGACTTTTATTTGATTATTTTGATTCTATTCATGCTTTAGACCATCAAGTTTGATATTGATAGACTTTTGCAATCATTAGAGATATAACGTGATCGAATTATGATAATATCTATTTGTTAACGCCATATAATTATTATATGTATTTTTATATTAGTGTTGATGGTGGTATCTTTCACAACTGATAATGATGCTTGTTTTTATCTATCATTTCTCTAAGTTGTTTGATTATATTTTTAAAATTAATATGTACTGTAGGTTCAAAAGAAATTATTAGGTAATATACCATATTTAATCATGAGCATACATATATTTTAAGTTTGGGAAAAATATTTCAAATAAAAGGATGTAACTCTTCATGAATGAGAAAATAACTATACACTAAACAACATTTAATAATGGACATAAAAAAATCCCAGATTGAAACATAGATGGAAAATAATACACAATTTTCCCACCATACAAACAACATTTATCTTTGCCAGTATCTGAAGTCGGACCCACAGGTATAAATTAAATTAGGGCCCTTGGCCATTGGCATGAAATCAAAGTCTTCATCAAGGAACCTTTCGGCCATATAAACAGACATCAAGTGTGTATTGTAAACGGGCACAATCACCTTGGTTTTCATTTTCAGATGAGCAAAGTACTGTAAGCATCTTTTAGTTTGCCTATGTTGTTGCCCACAATGAAAGAGACCCTCCACTTTATAATAAAATCACAAAAATAACTCAAAACTTATATGTGATTATTCTTAACTACAATGAGAATGATAAACTTATGGCTGAAAAAGACAAATATGGGGTGGGCGGCCAGAGTCGTGAATATGGACAAATATATAATTTTATGTTAGATGATGACTTTATAAAATTTTAAAAGACGGATACATATTATCAATAAAAAATACATTAAAAAACTTTAAAATATTAGATGATTTAAAATTTTGAAGAGGACGACCACCACACCCACTCCTCAGTCATCCTTGATTATGAGATATTTTGGCCATAGAATTCGGCTATCAATCACCCATCGTTTATGAGGAAATGCGTGTCCTGAAATTTAAGAGGTTTGGATATTTCGTAGAATCCACCGTCCAAGATTGTGGATGGCAAAGGTTTCACAAGTTGATCAACCACGACTTCGGCATGTCATGCATGAACCATACCCATCAATTGTTTTCAAACGTCATTTAAATTGATCAATACTATATCATAAACAACAAATTTGATTCAGCCTGACTAGTAGTGCATTGGAGATTCAATGGCAGTATTGAATGTTAGTAGTTTGACAATGTTGAATAGATCCCACATTGCTTGCAAATGTATTAAACAAAGA